TTATTCAATCGCAACCCTTACGCACGAAATGGACGTTGGACGTCAAAAACTGAGGAAAAAATGAGATTTTACTTGGTCAATCGTAACGCTTTCGTCTGTGTAAAAGTGTCTGTGTGTAAAAGCCTCTGTGTGTAAAAGCCTCTGTGTGTAAAAGCCTCTGTGTGTAAAAGTGTCTGTGTGTAAAAGCGTCTGTGTGTAAAAGCGTCTGTGTGTCAAAGTGTCTGTGTATAAAAGCGTCTGTGTGTAAAAGCCTCTGTGTGTAAAAGCGTCTGTGTGCAAAAACGTCTGTGTTTCAAAGTGTCTGTGTGTAAAAGCGTCTGTGTGTAAAACCGTCTGTGTGTAAAACCGTCTGTGTGTAAAAGCCTCTGTGTAAAAGCCTCTGTGTAAAAGCGTCTGTGTGTGAAAGTTTTGTTTTTGTGTAAAATCTTCTGTGTGTAAAAGCTTCTGTGTGTAAAAGCGCCTGTGTGTAAAGGAGTCTGTGTGTAAACGCTTCTGCGTGTGAAAGTGTTTGTGTGAAAAAGGGTCTGTGTGTAAAAGCGTCTGTGTGTAAAAGCGTCTGTGTGTAAAAGTGTCTGTGTGTAAAAGTGCCGTGTGCAAAAGCGTTTGTGTGTAAAAGCTTTTGTGTGTAAAAGTGTCTGTGTGTAAAAGCGTCTGTGTGTAAAATCGTCTGTGTGTAAAAGCGTCTGTGTGTAAAAGCGTCTGTGTAAAAGCGTGTGTGTAAAAGTGTCTGTGTGTAAAAGCGTCTGTGTGTAAAAGCCTCTTTGTGTAAAAGTGTCTGTGTGTAAAAGTGTCTGTGTGTAAAAGTTTCCGTGTGTAAAAGCCTCTGTGTGTAAAAGCGTCTGTGTGTAAAAGCCTCTGTGTGTGAAAGTGTTTGTGTGTAAAAGCGTCTGTGTGTAAAAGCGTCTGTGTGTAAAAGCGTCTGTGCAAAAGTGTGTGTGCGTGTGTGTGTGTAAAAGTGTCTGTGTGTAAAAGCGTCTGTGAGTAAAAGCGTTTGTGTGTAAAAGTGTCTGTGTGTAAAAGTCTCTGTGTGTACAGGAGCTTCTGTGTGTAAAAGCCTCTGTGTGTGAAAGCGTCTGTGTGTAAAAGCGTCTGTGTAAGAGTGTCTGTGTGTAAAAGCGTCTGTGTGTAAAAGTGTTGTGTAAAAGCGTCTGTGTGTGAAAGTGTTTGCGTGTACAAGTCTCTGTGCAAGCGTCTGTGTGTAAAAGCCTCTGTGTGTGAAAGTGTGTGTGTGTGTGTGTCTGTGTCTGTGTGTACTAGAAATGCGTGTGTGTGTGTAAAAGCTTCTGTGTGTAAAACCGTCTGTGTGTAAAAGCGTCTGTGTGTAAAAGCGTCTGTGTGTAAAAGTGTTTGTGTGTAAAGGCTTCTGTGTGTAAAAGCTTCTGTGTAAAAGCGTCTGTGTGTAAAGGAGTCTGTGTGTAAAAGTGTCTGTGTGTAAAAGCGTCTGTGTGTGAAAGTGTTTGTGTGTAAAGGAGTTTCTGTGTGTGAAAGTCTCTATGTGTAAACGTCTCTGTAAGGAGTCTGTGTGTAAAAGCTTCTGTGTCTGAAAGCGTCTGTGTGTAAAAGCGTCTGTGTGTCAAAGTGTCTGTGTGTAAAAGCGTCTGTGTGTAAAAGCCTCTGTGTGTAAAAGCGTCCGTGTGTAAAAGCAACAGTGTTTCAAAGTGTTTGTGTGTAAAAGCCTCTGTGTAACAGCTTCTGTGTGTAAAAGCGCCTGTGTGTAAAGGAGTCTCTGTGTAAAGGCTTCTGTGTGTAAAAGCCTCTGTGTGTGAAAGTGTTTGTGTGTAAAGCGTCTGTGTGTAAGAGCGTCTCTGTGTCAAAGTGTCTGTGTGTAAAATGGTCTGTGCGTAAAAGCCTCTGTGTGTAAAACCGTCTGTGTGTAAAAGCGCCTGTGTTTAAAAGCTTCTGTGTGTAAAAGTCTCTGTGTGTAAAAGCTTCTGTGTGTAAAAGCCTCTGTGTGTGAAAGTGTCTGTGTAAAAGTGTCTGTGTGTAAAAGTGTCTGTGTAAAAGTGTCTGTGTGCAAAAGTGTCTGTGTGCAAAAGCGTCTGTGTGTAAAAGCGTCTGTGTGTAAAAGCCTCTGTGAAATAGCCTCTGTGTGTGAAAGTGTGTGTGTGTGTGTAAGTGTGTGTGTGTAAAAGCGTCTGTGTGTAAAAAGCCTGTGTGTGTGAAAGTGTTTGTGTGTTAAAGCGTCTGTGTGTAAAAGTGTCTGTATGTAAAAGCATCTATGTGTATAAGCGTCTGTGTGTAAATGTCCGTGTGTAAAAGTGTCTTTGTCTTGAAGTGTCCGTGTGTAAAAGCGTCTGTGTGTAAAAGCGTTTGTGTGTGAAAGCGTGTGTGCGTGTGTAAAAAGCATCTGCGTGTAAAAGCGTCTGTGTGTAAAAGCGTCTGTGTGTCAACGCGTCTGTGTGTAAAAGCGTTTGTGTGTGAAAGCGTGTGTGCGTGTGTAAAACGCATCTGCGTGTAAAAGCGTCTGCGTGTAAAAGCGTCTGTGTGTAAAACCGTCTGTGTGTAAAAGCTTTTGTGTGTAAAAGCTTTTGTGTGTAAAAGCGTCTGTGTAAAAGCGTTTGTGTGTAAAGGCTTTTGTGTGTCAAAGCGTCTGCGTGTCAAAGTGTGTTTGTGTAAAAGCACCATCTGTAAAAGCGTTTGTGGGTAAAAGCTTTTGTGTGTAGTTTTACCGCACGACATGGAACTGTCAGAGATTGAGGGTGAAAATGCTTGCTAGTGCATCCGTGCTAGGACGTGTGGAGCTCGGTTCGTTTGGTGCGTTGTGTGGGAATTGATATGTTCATAGTGAGCTTCACTGTTCAGTTTGCATGTCTATGCGACAATGATGTTTGCATGTCAAACGCAGGAGTCGTGGTCTCAGGCTTCGAAGAACACATTCTTTGCCTTGCATTGTGCGAGTGCGTAGCAGGTTAGTGCATGAAGTTGTAGAAGTTACCAAGCTGTTGGGTTCGTTGTACCTTTGTGGATGGTTCCTTCGAGAACGGTGTGATGCATGTAATTTACAGCATCATGGTACCGAGCCTTTTTTGGCAATTTGCGTGGGAAATTGTATATTAAAATGCAATGCAACAGCAATACAACTGCTTTCGATGGTGCGCGCTACACCAAGGTTGAGACCACACAACGATGCTGTTGTTTGGACGGGTGTCGCTCAATGACAGAGTATGGTCCTGAACTCAAACTTTTTGTTTTGAAATCAAGCATGTCATGGCATTGTTTTGAAATCAAGCATGTCATGGCATCGAGATCTGTTGCAAACGTTTGCAGACATAGTGAAGTATAGTTCCTGGGCTCGGATGTGAACGAATGGACAAGATGCGTTTCGGTCAGTGTGAACATGAAGATTAGCATTAAATATCAGGAACAAATATTAGGAATTAGCGAACAGATATGCATGTCTCGGGATTTCTGAATGCAAAATGTTTGGTTCAAGTCGCGCACCCGTGACGTTTGTGAACGCATTGTGGTCGCTGTTTCATTTTTTCTGTATTTCTGTTGAATTGTTTTGAGTAAAGTAGTGTAACATATATCATTTACAGCATCAGGGTACCGAGCTTTTTTTGGTGATTTGCATGGAAATTTCCTTAATGAAATGACATAACACATGTCATGCAGATGATCATGGCACCGAGCTTTTTTTGATGTAGTTTCGCTGCTATGTCGAGTGTAAAGTAGCGTAACATGTGGCATCTATGGCATCATGGTACCGAGCTTTTGTTGTTGATTTGTTTATGAAAAGTCCGATTCCGATCATCAAATTATAGAAATATGTGTCATTCACAGCATCAAAGTAGTGCTGAGTCTCGAGCTTGCAGGTCGTCGCGACAATGGTGCTTTGCTATGTCAAACTCAGGAGTCGTGTGCTCAGTTTCGAAGTTGAAGATCTAATACTTTGCGGTCGACTGCGCAAATTCATACAGATTTACCTCTTTACTACAGGCGAGTTGCACATTCCTGGGCTCAAATCTTTCGCACGGTGTGAACAGATTTGTCGTGATGATGTAGCAGACCAAAACAATGTGCGCTGTTGATGTGATGCTCTCAGCTGTTGTAGAGCTTCTGTGTGTTTGTGTGTGTAAAAGCTTCTGTGGGTAAAAATGTCTGTGTGTAAAAGTGTCTGTGTGTAAAAGCTTCTGTGTGTAAAAGCTGTGTAAAAGCCTCTGTGTATAAAAGCTTCTGTGTGCAAAAGCGTTTGTGCGTGAAAGTGTGTGTGTGTGTGTACAAGCATCTGGGTATAAAAGCGTCTGTGTGTGTGTGTAAAGGCGCCTGTGTGTAAAAGCCTTCTCTGTGTAAAAGTGCCTAGTGTCTGTGTGTAAAGGCGTCTGTGTGTAAAAGCCTATGTGTGTAAAAATGTCTAGTGTCTGTGTGAGAAACCTTCTGTGTGTAAAAGCTTCTGTGTAAAAGCATCTGTGTGTAAACGCTTCTGTGTGTAAAAGCGTCTGTGTGTAAATGCGTCTGTGTGTAACAGCTTCTGTGCAAAAGCGTCTGTGTGTAAAAAGGTTCTGTGCGCGTGAAAAATAATAGGAAGGATAGGATGCAAACTCCGTCTCTCTCTCCCTCTCTCTATCTATGTCTCTCTGTGGTTGCAAGTCACGTGTCATATGATGCCCTTTACCAAGCAGCACAGTGCATGTGCATGGGTTGTCACATGTATCCTCTTCTTGATCAATCTGACTTTTCACAACTTATCCCTCCATAGCTCATATACAATTCACCAACCATTCACCGACTATTTTTTACGACTACCATACTCAGAGCAGCTTGAAAAACGTCTTTTTCGCTCTCGGGCCAACCGTCGTCTAGTTTGGGGGGTCAAATGGCGCAAAATCCCCGTGTTCTGTGGATTGAAATGGTCACATCCACATTTCACTGTTGTGACATCTATGTTCGCCAACTTTAAGTTTTCAACGCACCAAGTATCTTCTCTGTCATCTCTTCCCCCAAAAAATCGATACCTTTAGAGAAAGCCAACTTCAGCATTGGATCCATTGGCCCGGGGCCTTCTCGGAGTCGCCAAAGAAACCCCCGGCACCGAAGGTGTTGTAGCCAAGGGCCTGGGATGGCGTGGGGGTTGCCGTTTCACTGTGGTGTGGTTGCCTGCTGGGCTCTCAGTAGGTCAACAGGGGATAGGCGCAAGGAGGAGGATGAGGAGGAAGAAGGCAAGGAGTTGTACCTTTGTTAAAATCTAGAGACCCACCTGGCAGGTGGAGAATCATCTCAAAAATAATGTCAGAGACCAGAGGTAAGCCCTTAGTGTGAAGGCGCGCATCAATATTGATCACTGAGATGGAAATCTTCCGCTGGAAGTCGGTACAAACCGTTCGAACCACTCTGGGACCCTCTGAGACCCTCTGAGACCCTGACACTCGCATCCATCAGGTTGGAAGGAACTTCCACTTCCTAAAGACGGCGAACCATGATCCCAGGGTCCCATAATTATCGATGTTGTGCTGTCACAAACGACAAATGACTCAACATTCCGAGTCGTTCCGAGCATTTGGGAAGGAGTGGGCTGTCACCTAATTATGGTAAAATTGGATAACCTTGGGATTTTTTTTTATGGTGTACCATATTGAGCTCCAACAGACTTGGACTTGGACTTGCAAACTCTTTGCAGAATGAACAGAATTTATGACTGAGAACAAACTCCTTATCACCGGAGCACCAAGATTTTGACCCACACTCAAACAAACTATATCTTCAAAGTACAAACCATTCTTGACCCTGCTCTTGGAGTCGAGTTATACACTGCTCCATTCATGGACCATCGATTTAGACAACAGCTTGGAGACATGTTCTCGGCTGTGGAAAAGAACACTGCGCTATGCTTAAACCCAACCCCAAACAAACTTTGGGACAAGTTAGTTGCTTGACATGTTTTGACCACTTCCCGACTTTTGTCATCTGGATCTCGGCCAAAACCGTGATATCCCAGTGAGCATCACAAGAATGAACGGATTGGACCACCCAACGCAGAGGTACTTTGTTTTGAGCCATACCCATATTACCATGACCATAACTTTGTTTACAAGTTTGGATACTATATTGAAGTCTTAGCAGGTTTTGAGAAAATCCGTTCACAATCATCCATTCACATTGGTGCCTAACACGAATCCATAACACAATTAGAATAAAGGATGGCTGGACCAACGCATTAAACCATGGGTTGGTGCTATTTTTAAGCTTCAATGCATGATGATCTGATGGTCCTTGTCCAGAAAGATACCTCAAATTGAACATTTCATACAGGCCATGTAATTTTGGATTTATCAATTGCTTAGCAGTGATGAAACCGAACAAGGAACCAGTCACAAGCGAAATTTTGGATCTTTACTATTACATCGGCTAGATATGAATCCATTTTGACCGTGAACCACCTTGATACTAGAGATATTAACTTATTGTCAACCATCATAAACGGATGTAAACGGGGCTTAAACACCGACTAACCCCCCACTGTTTGATGGGAAAAACCTATACTCATCGGTATACATCTCTTGGATTCCCAACTCATCCGCAGTTTTCATGATCAAAAACCAGATTTCCACATTAATCCACATTAATCCATATCAATCCCAAATTTTCCTGTTTTCAGGTGCACCTCCCAGGCTCCGCTGACGCCCAACACGCCCAGGTTCTGAGGCCATCAGACTACCACCAAAGCCGAAGGATCGGGCCAGCGAGGCGAAGGC